CCCCGGCCCGCGAGGCCCGACCCCAGACCTCCTCAGGCTTAAAATCTTGGCCCAGTTTCCTTAGATGCGGCCCAAACCCGCATAAGGCCCAACTGTTTGGCCATCTTTGGGCCAGCTTGTTAGCAGTCTGGCCCAATTGCCCTTTTTACCCTATTTTGTGTTCCGGAGCCCGTTTTTAATACCGATTTCAATTTTAAAAATATTTACAAAATGATTTTCTTGCTGGGTTGATAAACTCATTCGAGAAAGCATCTTTTTCCTTCCTGCCTCAAATCAAGCCAAAAATTATGATTTCGTCTGTACTTGCAACTTTTAAACCAAGATTGGGATCGTATTTAGTGTGACGGGTAATCCAATTGGAAAAACCTGACTGAACGTGAGGATGTTATGTCACGTTCCATATATACTGAGAACGCTCGGGAGATATGGAAAAAGCCCCCCAAATGAAAGGCGGCGGCCGGAGGCTTGGTTCGTGATGCAGGGGGTCGTTGGCTTGGGGGGTTTGTGATGAATATTGGGTATTGTTCGATCACAGGATCAGCTTCCTTATTTATGAGCTTTGGTTCATAGGATTGGAATAATTATCTACCTTGCTCTTATCCTCTAAAGGGTGCCAATGAATCATGGGTGCAGGACCCTTTACATGTAAGACCTATTGCTCATGCAATTTGGGATCCTCAAAAATTGAAAAAAAAATTATTTTAAGTCCCGAGACTCCAAATTAATTTTCCGAGTCCTATTTTGTAAAAATGAGAGAGTTCCAAGTCCACGAAAAATTCGATTAAAACTCTTAAGTCTTAATTTTTATTAAGTATGAGTTTTATGATAAATTCGAATAGTGAGATAGTTTATCAATAAATAATCTCACTTAAATATAGGTGTTTGAGGAGTCGAGCCTCATCCTACGTACTTGATTTTTTTGTGCCTTTCTACCGATTTACCAGGTGGGTTTATTTATAAAATTGTCTATGCTTGAATAGTGAAATTGTTTGCTTACTTGGGTATGATCAAAGTATGAAATGTGAACATGTAACCTTCGGCGTGAGCTGTACCGGCCGTCGAGTGGTATCCCCGTGGTTATAGAACGTACCCGATGGGTAGTCTCCTTTACTAATGTATTGCAGACCTAGGCATGAGCCTTGGTCAGTGATGGATTTCCTGCCTAAAACCCTCGGGGTTGGCAGACCTGTCTAATACCCTCGGGGTTGACAGTGAATTTCCCGTCTAAAACCCTCAGGGTTGACGGATGATTCTCCTACTTTGGCAACGTTAGAGTTCCCGCGGGGAGACGATACGTGGACCAAATGTAGTCTATTCTGATAGGTGTGCACATGAGATATGTAATGGACTCTGGATAGGAGATGGGAAAGATTTGATTGTCTATGTTCATACGTGTGACCATGCCATATTTACTTTCTGTTCCCATTTAATATAACTGTTCATTGCATAGTGGTGAGCACAACGGATTCCATCTGTGCTCATCCCCACCTGCTCTTCATGGATGCAGGTTGAGCCGGCGGCTGCATGGCGGTGAAAGACGAGTGGTGGTCGGTTATCTGACCAGACCTTATTATGTAGCTTCCGCTTTGCTATATATAATATGGTTACTTTTGTAATTATGTTGAACTTTGGATTATTTATGATTTGAGAAATTTGAATACTGGTTTGGGGATATGCCCGTTTGCTAATGATTGATTTCGAAACTTTGTTTAGAACCCTGTGAGGGTGGTTTCGATTTGACTCTGGATCATTGACGATGTTTATATTACTTGCGAGTAATTGATAATTCGTAAATGTTGTTTATATGTCGAGTAACGCCAAATGATTTATGAAAAGAATTTCGAAAAATTTTTGTTGACCTTTTTGAAAAGCTTTTGACTTTTGTCAAATAAAAGTGGGGCGTTACAGTATGGTATCAGAGTAGGTCTACGTTTCTGTAGACTGCTTAAATTTGAATTATGTGCAAATATGATTATTTGAGTTAAGCATCGACCACTCGTCTTCGTCATGTCGCGCCGCTCAAGGTATGTAAGTCATAAGTATCACTGAGATCACTTATGAAATGTTTGTTATTCATTGTTGCTTATTCATGTGCTAAATCAGGGCTTAGGGTCTATCCACCTTTAAAATGCGGACTCTAGTGTTTAATGGCGAACTCTAGACTTCTAGTATATTGATTATATTGTTTGTTTTGTGTTCGGCTTATTCAATGTAGAAGTATGAATACTCGCAACAACCGTAACCGTCAGGCATCCCCGCAACCGTCTCCGCCCCGTCAGCACCAAGCCCCTCCGGCCATGGATCTTACTCAGCTTATCATTCAGTTTCAGAGGATGAATGCACCAACCTTTGCGGGGACTGAGAACCCCACAACGGTGCTGGAGTGGATCAAAGAA